TTTTTTTTTTGGTTTTTCTCCGGTACCGGGAACTGAACTCACGACCTTGCGCTTGCCAGGCAGGCGCTTTGCCGCTGAGCTAAATCCCCAGCCCCCGGTTTTATGTTTCTATATGCCAGCTGAAATAAGTTTAAATTAAATTTTAAAAAGAACAATATTGAACATTTTTTGAAGAAAGACAATATGCCACCTTAACCAATATTAATTTTACATTAACCAGCAGCCTTTAAAACTCAGTGGAAAAGAAATAGAATAATGTACATAAGGAGGAGAAAAATCAAGTAATAAGAAACTAGGACAAACTAGAAAATGATGGAACTAGGAGATAATACCAAGTCCTTGAACAATTATGTTTGTGGAGTCCCCCAAAATGGGGGAAGTAAGTTGAAAACTACAGGAATCAGAAAATAACTGCTGAAATTTTTCTAAAATTGAAGAAATGATAAAATATAGATATGAAACCATACCTTTACTAGAATTTTTAAAAATCATGAGCACAGAATTTCCTGAGATACATTTCAATTTTTAGTTCAAGTATTCAACTACATACATAAAATCTAGATGTTCCTTGTTGACCGGAAGTGGGAAATGCCTATTTACAATCTAAGCTAATATTTTATTTTATTTTGATAGCAAAATACAGATAAAGCTATAGTATTTATTGAAAAACTAAACAATAAGATTGCTTTTCTGACCTTTCTCTATCATATATATTTTTAGGTAAAATGCCTAGTATTGATTGTGTGCTCTCGGAACAGATTTCCTGAACATATATATGACAGGAATATTTTAGAGACATAACACCATGCATAAAAATATTTCTAATATTACAGTCAGGATGAGTAAAGTAATGAATAAAATATACTTCTCATATAAGCCACAGAAACCAGTTTCTGGTAAATATTGGTTTTTGGCTTTTTAAATTAGGCTTATTGGTACAATTTAGATATACATAATAATCACATTCATCATAGGGAATTTTCACCTGTACATGGTATATCTTGATTCCTCTTATTTCCCATTCCCCTCCCCTCCCTTCAACCAGTCTTTCCGTCCTTACTTACAAAGGTTTTTTCATTTTTCCTTCTTTATTTTTTTTCTTTTTCCTTCCTTCCTTCCTTTCCTGCTTGTCCCTTTTTAGTTCCCCTTTCCCTTTGAACAATTTCTTCTTATTTCACAATATTTCTTACACATTTTGTTCTTATTAACACTTACAGTTGTCTCTGACAAATATTATTAATTCTTGTCTTAATAAGGTGTTGATTTACTCAGATTAGAAACAATTTAGACCGCCTGCCTCTTTCAAGGGAAGATAAAATTTAAACAGCTGATATACCATGTAGAGAATTAATCTCTGCTACACATACCAACACACACTCAGCACAGAAGTTCATGAATTAGTCTTGATTTCCAGAGAAGCAGAATCAATAGAACTTGGAGGGATAGATAGATAGATAGATAGATAGATAGATAGATAGATGATACATAGATGGATAAATAGATAGATAGATAGATAGCCACATGAATATAGAGATACAATGATTTATTTTAAGAAATTGGCATAAACAGTAATGAACTGATAGTATGATTTAAATTCAAACACAAGAGAATATTCAATCCCAGCTTAGACACTCAGGAGAGAGGGGATTTCCCCTTTCTCCTCCCATTTTGTTCTATTCATTCCTGAAGTGGACTGGATGGGACCTACCCACATGGTGTTCTAATCAGCTTTACCATCTACAGGCTTCACCTCCTTGAACAGATCCAAAAGTAAAATAAATAAAATGAGTGCCAGTTATTTCTCATGGACAATCTCTTACCTGAGACATAGATAGTAAGCAAGGAAATGATCATCAAGTTTGATAAGCAAAGGAGATAATCTGGAAAAGAAAGCAAATGCTTCCCAAAACATGTCACTTTAAAACATGAAATCTGGCCAAAATCTACATTGAATAGAAGCCATTATTTGCAAAACATATTTTAAGAAAAAAAAGTGTAAGTTGAACATTGTTAGCTGTTTTGATGTTGCAGCTGCTTTCCCCCACCTGCTTGGTACACTGCTTTGCTAGCACCCATCATATGCGTCATCTCATCCTACATACCTGACAGTTACCCAAAGATCCATACAAAGATTACATATCATGTGATTTTCTGTATACAGTATACAGAACACTCTTTTTTAGAATCATTAGAAACTGAACACAAATATGAAAAGGAAAAGAGAAAAGTGTGTAAGAAGCTTATTTTAAGTAATAAAGATTTAGCCCATGAAGCACTAATGAGGGTGTGCTAAGTAGTAAAAGCATAACAAAGGCTATATGGCAGTTTCTCCCTATAGATGAAAGAAATAGAAATATACTTTATTTTCCTCACAAAATTTATACTGTATGCAAAGGACTATGAAAATGAATTAGAATAAATCTTTAAACCTACACAAATGAACACACTAAGAAAAATACATATTCCTTAAAACAGCTGGGTATTTATTAGAAAATCAAAGTATTCAAAATAAGCTTTAAATTTATAACAGATGTTTTACTTCTACAAGATTAGATTTGAGGCTAAGAGGCAGAGACGTCACAATTTAAAAATTGATATTTTAACTTCATTTCAAAAAATGGTTTTTAAAATCCCTCAAAATGTTTTATCTCATAATTTTTTTTAAAGAAAGAGTATTTATGGTGATCCATGACATGACTTTTTGCTAATAATAAGATGGATTTTCCAAATGCATTTCATCTCTAGTCATAAGGTAATATTATGAATAATATGATTTTGTACTTTAATTTAGAATCAGTAATGAATTTGAATATTTTCCCCTCTAGTTCTAACATTAAAATTAAAAAAATTTAAGTCTTATTAAGTATTATTTTTTTCTACTTGCCCCACATATTTGGAATATGATAATCAAAATCTACATACTTAATACTCTTAGAAGATAGATATAGATATATATATGAATGCAGTGTTCTCCCATAACTTTATTTTTTATCCAATCCAGCACTAATGTATGCAAGCATTTTTGGAAATGTTTCTGCCATTATCCAAAGACTATACTCGGGAACTGCCAGGTACCACATGCAGATGCTGAGAGTCAAAGAGTTCATTCGCTTTCACCAAATCCCCAACCCTCTGCGGCAACGACTTGAGGAATATTTCCAGCATGCGTGGACTTACACTAATGGCATTGACATGAACATGGTATGTATTTGTTTCCCAAAACGGAAGCACCACAGGCATTGAAGTATAGCCACAGTGAAAAGGCCAGTCTCACCAGCTTCGAACCCCTTGCTTTTGTTTTCTTCTCTCAGACGTTTATTTTCTTCCCCGGAGATAGTGTCTCATTCTCAATTCATGGCATTGCATGGTGCTATATCTAGTTATACTGTGTGGCAAAGGCATTATAACATGATGCAAACTGATATAACTGGGTATAGTTGAGTTCCTGCTTCCGGTTAGAGAAAGAATTGCTTTAGCTAGAATTTGGACTCTCACTGTACGGTCTAGTTGCCAGCATCCAAAAAAGTAGCTGAACCCGTGGGTAATTAAGATTTGGCAAGCAAACTGTAACAATTACGATGTCCCCAAATGGAAATCCAAGATTAATACATCTTAAAATGTAGAAAATTTTGAAAATTGTAGGTGAGGTTAGAGAGTTTCAGTATTACATAAGCATTTTCTCTTAGAAAGTTTCCTGCTTCTTTTAACAATAGCTTTTCTGCATTTTAAAAAATTAACTTTGTGCCCTTTTAATGTACATGGTTTAATGAATGTTTCCTTTCAAGGAAGAAATATGGATTCCTTCACACATTTTAAACAAATTTGACATCAACAATCACTTGGCATATCCCCACCTCCCACATCACTGCTCAAATAAATTAACACAATTAATATTAATATGGTCCAAAGCGTTTTTAATTATTTTTACTATTATTCCTTTACCTTCCCTTATGACTTTAGAGATTTATTTCTACCAATAAGTTATACAACAAGTTTAAATTTAATGATGTAGAGCCATAGAATAATAAAAAAAAAAGAACTAAAATATGACATCTCACACCTGACTACTCCTCCTCTGGGAAACAACCATTTTTGAATATTCTTTAGAAAATAAAATCACTCAAATTTAACTATGTCAATTGCAAAATATAATGTTTGTATAAGTAAACCTGTAAAATTTTGATTGATATTTTTGTTCCACCTGAATGATTCTAACATAAACACATACAAAAAATTTTAAAACAAAGATGCAAAATTAGAAGTAGTGGTATAAGAAGCACTGCAAATATTTTCTAACTTGAGAGACATTTACATGTTTTTCATAGCTGGGAGTGACTTATTTGACTGAGAAATGCAGAAATATTACCGCAAAACAATTCTTTGAAGAGCTAGGCAAATTAGTACATTTCAGACAAAATTTTAGTTGGACTACATGAGTTAATTCCAATGATCCCAAAGTTTATTGTGAAAAGAAAAAAACAAAACCACTTAATAAACTGATTTCCCAAAGGAACTTCTTGATCTTGCAATAGAGCAACTACACATTGGTTACTTTTATGTATTCCATTAGTATTCTTATTTAATAAAAGTCTCAGCATTAAAACCTGTTGGGGAATCTCTATTGCTGGGTTGGCTGAAGCAGTGTCAAGAATTTTTAACCAGAAAAACGTGTCACTTAATTTTATTGCTCCATACTGCCAGATTACTTTAAAAACAGTACTGAAGTGATTATTTATTTCCCCTCTCCATAAACTCTAGTTTTACAACCATTTTTATGATATAAAGTCTATTTTGTGACAATTATTTACCTTTCATTGTTTGAGTCTATTACCTATGAATATGGTTTATATACCACTTGCCTATTTATAATGTACTTATGAAAGATTTATCTCTTTCCTGTCTGCTTCACACCTTAATACATGGAATCACAACACCCACCGGTAAGAACAGGAGGTATTTATATCCAATTTAATTCTGTGTAAATTGTGGAGAACACCCTTGTTATCTGTTAGGCTTAGAGCTTGTTAAGTGATTTCCAGTGTTAGCTCTGATCTTTTGCATGATGTAGCAGAGGAAATACAAATCAAGAAACTGGGAAAGATGATATGAAAGGGGCCAAGTACAGAAAAGAAATTCTTAATCTTAATGGAGACTTGACCTCTCACAATATTTAATATACAGTTTCCCATTTACCACAAAAATCTACTTCTCTGCCCCAATTTCCACTCTGGTAAAGATTTTGGGTATACGGTTTGCATTAGATAATTGTCATAAAGAAAATGTCATTTTCTTTCATCATCCTCTATTTTCATGATGTAGGTGCTTTTCTTTCCTCTCATCTGCATGCCAGTATTACATGATCCTGGAATGTGTGAGCTCTGAACCATGTGCCGCTGAAAACTGCATGTGGTTTTGAGAACTTGACTTGCACGAACTTGTATGTACATGTCTACATTTCTCATTTTGTGACTGCAAAGTGAGTTACAAAAAAATGAAGTGCAAGATAACTGAAAATTCAGCCAGTGGAAGATGCTTATTTCAAACATGATATGCAAAACAGAGTTGACTAGAGAAAAGCAACTGTACTCATAGACTATTGAGAGGTAAAAGAAAAAATCAAAGTGGACTTTTGTACCTCCAAAATCACATCATTGGTATTCTTATCTCATTAATTTATTGTTAATTAAGTTGTAATTTAATAGCAGTTGATACTGATTTAAATATATGTATTGTGATACATAAAATACATCAAACTGTTGTATTTTACATCAGCATTCCATGTTATTTCATTTAAGTATAACTTTAAATATAATTTTTCATAAAACATTTCAGTCATTTTTGCTGTTCAGCATGTCCAAATGGATACAAGGTTCCCAACCACGATGAGTTAATGGGCCTAAAATTATTTTCAGGTCCTAAAACATTTGATTGTTTGGTGGATCACAAATGACTAGGGAATAATTGGTTTAAAAATGTGACTACGTTCCATATTCTCTTCATCTTTTATTTTTTGGGAAATCTATAGCCAGAATTTCCCAGAACTGAAAATATTCTGGAAATCATTATGGACTCCTTTTCACTTGAACCAAAAATGGTCAGAGTACAAAAGGGAAAGAGCCAAGATAACAAAGTAGTAAAAGGAACATGTTCTTTAGATTCTAATTTGGGGTTAGGATTTTAAATACTACCTCAAAGATGTGCCCAGGTTCATTCTGGAAAACCCATTTCTTTCTATCTACAGAAATTTAGCAGAGAATGAGGGTACCCTTTCTCATGTTAGGGCTGATGGCATGTCAAGTAATTTCTCCAAATGAAAACTTGCTTCTGACCAGTCTGACACTCTGAGGTTATCCAACATTGTTTTAGTTATAAAATTATAAAATAACGCAAGTCATCCCCTACACCAGTGTAGAACTATGTGTCATCACATCACACACAAAATCCTGGCTTGAATGAAGAACAGCCCTGCTGCCCCGGGCATCCCTCTGGATGTAGGGAAGTAAACCATTTTTGACAGGACCCACTTCATGGTTTGATATTAAACTAGCATGGAGGAAATGCCTTAAAAACATTTGATGAGTAATTTATTACTCACCTAAAAGCCCTATCCTTTCACTCACCAGGATAACACCTGAGTAACAAGAAAGAATACAGGATAGGAGTTCGAAGTCCCAAGTACTAACTCTCAATGTGCCACTACTCTTGGACAAGTCACTCAACCTCTGCAATTTTATTAAACTTTCCATTTTCAAGTATCTTTAAAGCACCAGTATTCAAATATAACTGTGTAAATCATGAAAGTTTTTGTGCCTAAAGATGGAGATTCGACTCTATCTGCTGCCCACACCCTCCACTGCCCATGGTGAACATCTGAATCTCCCTTATAGAACATCTGTTTCTGGATAGAAGTGGCTTCAAAATCACTACACTAGGTGGTGGAGACTGCTGATGGCAGAGACCCAGAGGGGATTTCAGGCAAGAGCAAGGACAAGAGTCGAGGCACCTATGCAGAGCAGTACAAGACAGAGTTAGGTAATCCAGAACCACCTTTGTTTCATTTATTTTAGGAAGAAAGTGGAGTAACTGAGTGTTGTTTACTCAGGAACATTCATGGAGGAAATTCTAAGAGAGAGACATAGGGTATGAAATAAGAACGCTGGAAGGGGAATGATTCTTCAGGAGAGTGGAGAGATAAATTTTTCTTGAAGACAGGTAACAAAGAAATGAGAGAAGGTGAGGGTGTCAACCGTGAGGGGTAAAAGAGGAAGCTTGACAGCATTTGCACTGTATGTTCCAGTCTCCCCGGTCAGGGAGAGACTAATTTCCGCAAAAGCAGAAGGTGTGGGATAGCAGTTGAGCTGAAACAGGAAGATTTTTGGAGATTTCAACCAAGAACCAGGTTAATACTCTAAAAATACTTAGAATCATGATAAATTCAGTGACACATGCATTAGTAATAGACATGACAAATAACATCAATCAAACTGGCCAAGAGAATAGTAAGTGAAATGTTGCTTAATAGAAATCTTCATTTCTTGGAGCTGATACAATTGCTAAGGAACATTTTGATAACATTTGATTTCTTTTACTTTCACAACTCTTCTCTAGTTTTTCTGTTATTTACTAGTATGGCCTCCTCCACAACCAAGCCTGACCTATCTCTACATCCACAGTCTTTCTCTGGTCCATCTAAAACTGGACCGACCATTCCCACACTGAATAACTTCATTTGTGGCAAAGCTTCATATTCAGATCAGGTTGCTTTAATATACCAGGATGAAATCTGACCACCGAAGCTTACACTTTTATTCATTTCAGCAACTGGATAAAAACAATCCTTGTAACACTAAACCTCATCACTAATATAAAGGCAAAACATAAAATAGCATTATTTGCCTTCAAGACTATATTATTTTATCCATCTTATGTTTTTCTAACTATCTATACTGGTCTATATAGATATAGTATATAGAAGAACTTCACTTTATCATAGAATTAAATAAAATTACTGAAAAAGATATCTTCAGTAAATCAGGGTGTTGAAGTCCCAGCTACTTATAAGCCCAGCTACTTGGGAAGCCAAGGCAGGAGGAATAGAAATTTAAGGCCAGCCTAGGCAAATTAGCAAGAGCCTGTCTCAAAAAATAAAAAGGGTTGGTGACTTAGCTCAGTAGGCCCTAGGTTCAATCCCCTGTAACCTC